AGGAGCCGTTTCCACAAAATGTTAGGTGAATTAGCTGATGCCCCTGCAGCACACAATAGGAGATGACGCAATCCCACTACCACATTTACTCAGTTACGGATTGGATAAGGGTCTTGCCTTAGTACAGGTAGAGCACAAGACTGATTCCTAACTGCGTACTGGACATCACACAGGCTTCGTACAGACTAGAAAACTGGCAGATTAAAGGATGTCGGATCCGACTGCGCCAGATATTGCAAAAGCACTACTGTCATGTAATATATATAGTATATACGTATATATACATTTCTCAGAGCAGCCTACACAAACCACTATGCAATACAGCCACACTGAACTTTAAGAGCTGCCAAAAAAAACTCTTGTTCTACTTTCACAAAGAGTATTGCCTTTTCTTTTTACCGACACACCAAACATGCACCGACATCGTAGACGAGGCAGTGTGAGAAAGAACAAAAAGTTAAATTAGGCTCCCTTCATCGGAACAAAAAAACACTTCTGTTTACACATTTCTGCAAGTCCGCATCATTTAAAACTCCAATACAAAAGAAAACGGGCTGTATTTAAGCAAAACACTGTTGGTGCCCTTTTATCGCTGTGATTGTTAGACAACCGATAATCACAGCATTTGTGTGCACATTTTTGATGTGAAGCTACATCTCTCTTTTGCTTTACTGTCCCTCTGTGAGCTATGCCAAAAACGTTTTCTTCTCCTGCAAAATAACACACCGATATAGATATATTAGTTCCCAGGATGGGCAAAGCAGACGGGGAAACGTTTTCAAAAAGGGAAATGTTATTGAATGCTCATTTATCCTGTTTCACTGATACTTCCTCCGAGTCACGCGCATCACGTCAGACTTAGTCTGCAGGGCTGGATCTCGAGTGCATTTTGTCTTTTTTAAGATGAAACACAATAAATGAAAGCTTATTTCTTTATTCTTGGGGTGAAGGGAAGGAAAAAAAGTCTGATTGCATTTGTGATGTTGTGCAGGAATGGAAAGGGCTACCTTGCCAAATCTTTCTCAAGAGGATGATAAAACTCGCTGGGTTTTAAACATTTTTTTCCACCGTCAATTTATGGGGCTAAAATACATCTGCTGTTGCAGAGTCTAAAAAAAAAAAAAAAAAGTTGTGACATATGGCTGTTTATGTAACAGTGCCAAAATAATCCAGAGTGAAATCTCATTAAAAGTTAGAACACAACCAAGTGTGCATATATGAGAAGTATATTTTAAGAAAGTCATAATGAACACGATGTGTTTTGGTGCCACCACCCATTTTCTTTATGAAACGTAAGATTAGAATTTTACCTACATAAACAGTCAATAACTTCCAGGCAATATTGTATATATTGAGTTTGATGTGACAAAAATTACCAATACTTATTATCCGAACCAAGCGCATTGGCACTGGTGTGTAAACGAAAACCTTGAATTTCTTTCTCGTATTTCTTTTTAAAAACAAAATGAGTTGAACCCCCGTAGGAGAAATGTTTACTTTGGCATGAAATTAGAGATGTTTTCCATTAACTCCACACAAAGGAACATCATTAACCATCTCATTGACTTCTCCCTATAGATTTATATTTGCTCTCTTCCTCTAATTGTCTACGCATTTGTGATGAAATTCAAATACTTTCAGTCCAAAGGCCACTCCTGAATGACATTTAACATACTTAATAACCTTAAAAATGAAAAATATCACTGGGATAAAAAGGTGAAGCGGTACAACTTCCAGTCGCTCGCTGCCTTCCTCAAATGATGTACAGAAAAAGTTCTACCGTGTCCGTTATTGTAAACTTGTCAGAATGAACCCCAGTTATAAATCATCTACGTAATTATCAATTGATTGAAGCAGCTAACTGTGAAAACCACATGGAAGTATAATACATCAATTTTAATGACATTTCTTAATCAGAACGCTGAGCAATCAGCAGAGACCAATTAAGGCCTGAGAGATAGAGACCCGCCATTAATAATCACACTTGGCTGCCATCGCATTGGCTCCATTCTCAAAAGGGTGTTTGAGCAGTTTTGAAGTGGACTATTCATTTCAGGGTAAAGGTATTGCCGCAAGACTCGAGAGCTGCAGCAGGAACAGGAAAGCAAAGTAAAAAGAGTACGGCAAAAAACTGCAAATGCCGAGCAGCTTCGTGTTATGGCCATGCCATCAAATGACTGGTGTGACTACAGTTAAAAAAATTCTCTCATAAAAATCAAAGGGCTTCTTTTCCAAGTGGCAATGAATCCTTGTCCACAGAGGAGGGAATGAATAGGCCTATCTTGCAAACGCTGAGAAAAAGAAAATGTCTACCCTTCAAAGCTATAAAACCACACCGGGGCCCACGGGCACAGAGCAACGACAGATATCTTTACAATGCCACCTTCAGCTGCAGCGTTATTAACGTTATGGTCAGTTTTATTGCGGACAAAGTCTGTTCATCTTTGAATGCAAAAACAGCCAAGCTGCAACGCATAAAACGTACCAGGGGCACAGAGACCAAGCAGCAACATTGCCCTTTATGTCTTTCCAAGCAGGAGTTTTCTTCTCTCAGATTTTCAATTTGCATTTGCTTGGCTGCTGATATGAGTGGCAATTGCCTGACTTTTAAGTCTACTCCAATGAACTGTGTTCATGTAAAGAGAGGTTAAACAGCCAGGGTTGCATCTGAGCGAAGGCAGTTGTATAACCAAAGTCACTGTCATTGGCGTTTCCTTTTTAAGCATTATGCACTAAAATCCTTCTCACGCACAAAGTCTTTAATGATCAGAGCCTATCATATCATAAAGATGTCACCACTACCATATTATCCTAATAACAAACTTCCCTCTCAGACTGCAGGCTTAGTCTAAAGCAGTGGTTCTTAACCTGGGTTCCATCAAACCCTAGGGGTTCGGTGAATCGGTCTCAGGGATTCGGCAGAGCCTCCACCGTGACATGCGCGGCTCATTTTGTGCACCAATAAAAAACATATCTATGTCTTGAATTTGAAAAAAAATCACATTTTATTTTTCACTAAAGAGGGGTTCAGTGAATGCGCATATGAAACTGGTGGGGTTCGGTACCTCCAACAAGGTTAAGAACCACTGGTCTAAAGCATTTATAGGTAAATTGGGAGGCAGACCCTTCAGCTATCAGGCTCCTGTCCTGTGGAACAAGCTCCCAGTTTGGTTTTGAGAGACAGACACCCTGTCCAGTTTTAACTCAAAACTTTTCTTTTCGATAAAGCTTATAGTTAAGGCTTGATTAGGTGACCTGAACTTTCCCTTAGTTATGGTGCTGTAGGCTCAAACTGTTACAGCAGCGGTCCCCAACCTTTTTTGCGCCACAGACCGGTTTATGTCTGACAATATTTTCACAGACCGGCCTTTAAGGTGTCCCAGATGAATAAAACAAAATAAAACCAGTACCGGTACCAAAAAAGAAGAAGATTTATTCATAACACACGGGGAAAGACCCAAGGAAACCAAGTTAACGATAAAACGATTTAAAAAACGGATAAAAACGCAGAAAAACACAAATTTCACCTTTGTGCTACACGACTTCAAGTGAGGCACTGAGCACTTCTGATCACTCCCCGTGTGTTTATATGCCACCAACATATCATTACATTTTTGTCTTCTCTCGTCCTCACTGTTGATTTAGACTTATGCAGTGAATCTTTGCAGAGTGTGCGACATAAC